TGCGTTTTATTGGCTTGTGTGGGGATTTGGGCAGGAAACCAGAGCTAATGCCCCTCTCCCACTTCAAACGCATGCCAGGCACCCTCAAATGTCACGGACTGGTTAGAGAGTTGGGAAAAAGGTGGGGAGGATTGAAGCAGAGGCAGGATGGGTGAAGGAGAGATTTTCAGTCACACCGGGCTCACCTCAAGGCTTATCAGTGCGCGCTGGAAGTAGCTTTAGGATCTTTCCCGGGCGGCTAAGGGAAAGCAGATGCTGACGAGAGGATGGTGCCACTTGGTGTCAGGTAGAGCTGGGGTCAGGGAGCGGAGACATGTTTCTCACTCCTGTATACTTTGGGATTCTTAGTTTCTTCTGGCAGTTATATCTATTGTAAGTTTTATGTGTGGATATTTTTAATGTTATTTATAGCTTAAAGCTGAGGTACCTAACTTTGAAACCCAAATGAATAAGACAATGTGATAAAACCAAGCTAACTAGTTCCTCACTTAAAACTGGTGCTATCACTAGTTTTCACATGCATGCATTTGTGGCCTCTGACACAGATTTAGATGAACTTTTTCAGACAAAAATGTGAAAAGGAAAGGACCACCCTCACTCAGCTAGCCTGGTCTTACCACACCATAGTACCAATTTAATTTCGTACTAAGGTCTGGATTTACTCCATTGAGCTCCGTTAACAGGTTAACGATCTCCCTTTGCAGATTGAAACGATTGGATCTGAGTTTGCCTTAAGTTGCTAGCATTTAGCCTAGCACCTCCTTTGCCACTAACCGAGCACATGGAGTAGAGCCACAAAATCTTTCCCATAAATGACATTTGCCAAACATTCCTCTTGCTCCAGCTTCAATTTCTTGATATTTGGTGCCGAATCAGATCGGTTTACTTTACTGTTGCATTCACCGCCATTGCCAAACTACAACCATCATGACGTCTCTGACACCTACAACACCCGCCTGGGATACAACCGAGGTAACTGCCGCCACAGGGACCAGACCCAGATGTACATGTAGGAAAATGAGAATTGACCGGAGTTTATGGATGGCTAAGGCCAGGCTATCACTCAGCCAATCAACTCCCAGTCCAAAGTATCAATTAGTGACTCATTGGGCTCTTTGTTACAAGAATGCAAAAAGGAATGCAGAAGATGACTATAATAAGATAAAGATAGAATGTTGGTTTACATAATGTTGGGACAAACTAGTCGGTACCCCAGCTTTAATAATACAGGCTTATGTGTGAAAGTTTGGCTTGTTGTGAGGTGTTTTTGGCTGTCTTACTTTTTTCCACATTATGTTGACCAGATGCACTTAGGCTGGATGCTGTAAGTGCGTCCATTTAAGATTAAGGAAATAATCTTAAATGGGTATTCTAGTATGGCCAAGATGCATTGATTGAAATCTAAGATATACATTTATGAAACAGACTTGATGTTGTACTAAAAGACTAGCATTATACTTGGGGTATCTAACATTCAAACCACAAAAAAGCAACTTTGCAATAAAATCCATTCAACTCTACTAGTTCCTCACATTCAAAGTTGGTTCCACCACTAGTTTTCACATGTATGTATTTTTTGGCCTGTGCCACATTTTTAAAAGTAATAGTAATTTCCATTCACTCCACTCACAGTGATGTCAGAAGCAATAAGAGCTTCCACTCAACACTATCTTTTCACTCACTCAGCACATTCATACCGTGTATATGTTTTTAGCGGTAGGGGAAAACTGGAGCACCTGGAGGAAACCTATGCAGACACAATGAGAACGTGCAAACTTTACACAGAAAGGCCTTGAGGTGGAATCGAAACCAGGAACTTCTTGCTATGAAGCAGAAGCGCTAACATCTGTTTAGATCAGCCTTTTCAGACAGAAAAGTGCAAAAGAGCCAATCAGCCTTCAGCAAGACTCGTTTCTTAGTATAAAACCGGTGAAAGTCTGAACGGACTGTCCCTATAGCACGTCTTCATGCAGGTAACAATTGTCAAAACAAAAACTGGGGAGAAACAGAACAGCAAACGAAAATGAGAAGTAAAAGCATCATTCCACCATTTGTTGGGAGTTTGATTCTCAGCACTATCCCACTCGACTGTTTTGATTGACAAGCCATTGGTTAATTGCCGTTCATTTTCTGCCTGTCAAAACGCCACACCGCCTCATTGAAGAGCTTCACGGTCTCTGTACAATTACTCAGCCCAGTGGATTTCTCAGATTGACAGCTCATTGGTTTATATTGGGACAGCATAGACGTGTGAGCAGTGCCCTGGTCACTGGGAATCCCATGGTGCCTTTCTTCTCATGCCAGCAGCAGTGTTTGTGGCATTTTCTCTCATTTTCCCAAGTGTTAATTTGTTTCCACCAAGACAGCCGTGACACATTCTCTCCTCCGCTTTTGGTCTCACTCTGTGTGGCTTTTCTTTTCTCGTTTTTACAGTAGTTTTAAAATCAGACATGAGATTCACCACAGACTTCATATATTTTGTTTTTTCTGATACATGTATATCACCAAAACCGTCTGCTTCCTTCCTCGTTCGCACTCTCACATTATTGTATTGATTTGTGGTCCTTGCATATCCGAGGGTCAGGTGATTTGGAAAGATCCAAGCCCTTTCACCTATTGACTAGAATGAGTCAATAGGTGAAAGGGCTTGGATCTAAAAAAAAATAAAAAATAAAAAATCTATGTAGTTTGTCAAACAGAAGATTAAAATGTTGTGAAAATTGTGTTTGTGTGAATTGGGTGAAAATTGTGAATACTTTTTTTAATACTTAGAGCCTTGTGAGTCACTATTTGACTTTTTGGGCTGAGCTTTATTGGTTGAGTGAGGGTGGTCCTCTCTTTTTCACTTTTATTTCTGAAAAAGCTGATCTAAAAATGTGACGGAGGCCAAAAATACATGCATGTGAGAAATAATGATAGAACCAAACTGTTTTAGAGCCTGGAACAATATTTACTGTATATTATGTTTTACACAAGAGTAAATTTGTTTTGTAGTTTTGAAGTTAGGTTCCCCAGATGTTTTTTCATATTCATTTTTGAGTTGGATAAAAGTCAAATAGAAGAGATGCATTCAAGCAATTTTTCAACATTTGAGATTGTACAATGTATACCATACTCCATATCCATACGACAGATTAGTCCAGAAGCAATTTTTCCAACAGATCAATCAAGTTTATAATTCCAATGATTTTCTTCTTTGTTTTCCCTCCATTTGTTAGTTCTCATCATAAAAATCAGCAGAGCTCACTTCCTTGTTGAGCTGCAGCACTTACACACTGGATGGTGTTGTGGCCTTTCTCATCCTCAAACTGCCCCCTCTCCCTCCTCTCAGGCTCTCTGGACCCTGGGGTCTGGGTCAGGCCAGAGCTGTTTGCCTTAACTGTGTCAGACTTGGATCATCCGCTGCCACTTCACAAGAAAGGAAAAAAGGAAAAACGAGGCATTTCCGGGCCCACGGCTTTATTCCTGCAGAATGGTGGATTACATTACAAGCCAATACAGAGAAGTGAATCATGTTCAAGGAGATGGCTTTGAACTGTACACCATTTTTTTGTAGGGATGTAAAAATAGCAGAAACTCTGTGTCTTACATTAAAAGGTAACAAAAAGACTCATCATCAACATTATGTACAAGGTGCAAGGATCATATCTTAATACTGTCCAAAAAATAGATCCCTGAAAGTTGAAGCTGCATGTTATGTTATCTGAAATGGTTCTAACCAGAAATGTTATGCACACATTTGTTTTAAAACCCGTTTTACCAAAGAATGAACACATTTGGCTGAACATTTACAAACATGATTCACTGTTCGATTACCACTGTACATGAAAGTAACAGACACAACTGGGATTTTAAAAGTGCAGAAAGGCAGTATATCATTCAGTCCAGTCCAGACCAGTTTGGCTCCTCTTTCTGACATAAATGTTCATGTGCAGAAGGGTCTGAGATCCGTACAATTACAGATAATGGAACTGAGAACGCAGAACTTACTTGCACAAATATCCAAGATGGCGGCCGCCGCGAGTTATCAACTTTTTAATACTAATTATACGTTTTTAAGTAAATGCTTTTGTAACTTTCTTTTGTAAGTAGTAGAGTTTTGCCTTCAAGCTGCCACATCCGGTTGTCTCTGATTGAATGAATAAAGCCATTCATACATTGTTATTTTTTCAAAGATGTTTCAGGCTCATATTTATACCTGTCCATTCAAATGTAACTGCTCCGGGTTCTAACATATTTGAAAATTATTAAAAAGTTTGTATGAAGATACTTCAACAGATCCCACTTGAAGCAATGTTGTTGTTCTGGTTTCGTATAAAAATAAATGACTGCTATAGGGTAAGTTTCCCGTGATGCAGGAAATTAATGGCCAATTTAATGTATTTTATTTTATTTGCACGCACTTCCATCTCAGGACAAAAAAGATACTGAATATTTACATAAAATACATTGTAGAAAATAGGTTCCATCCATGTTCTATAAATTCTATCTCAGTTGGAGGGCAGGTGACACCCAATGGGAAAGAAGCAGAAGAAGTCCAAATGTTTTCCCCAGGTCATTATTTGATAGTGATTAGATTCACAAAAAACATATTATCCATTTATGGGCCATATATGTTTTTTTTTTCCCACTTCTTGGCACCTTTATTAGAAAATTGTTAGGCCACAGTTATGTACTGACAATTAGAGGGAAATTGACTACAAACTAAGTGTAGCAGTCTGACTATTGACTCTTGACTCTTACCATCACAGAGCTGCCCTGCGCCACAATTTAGAATAAAGGCTCTTTGGAATGTTGTTGTCACACGAACGCAACCTATTGACACCATATTGTTCAAAGTGAATTGATTTCAGCGGTGATTAAAACAAAACCCAAGCGCTAGACGTTAAACCCAGTGTGACCTTTAATTTTATATGGTCACGCTCCAATAGCCTCCTCCTCTTCACATGAATGTTTAATGACCTGAGTCTATTATTAACCACGGCGGCTCGTCCCACACATCACACCGCGATCACCCTTCTCCGCTGGGGCGTCTCCATGGTGACCACGTCCATCTCGGGACAGTCTGTTGGCATCGGGTCGCGTGGGTTAAAAGCTGGGGGCAGAGGTGGTTGATGGGAGGAGAGCGGCCGGCGGAGGACCACAATCTGAGCGCTATGTTCGCGGTACAGCAGCTCGGTTAGCTCTGCCTCCGTGGAGTTCACCACCGGGAATCCATTGACCTCCACCAACCTGCAAATCAATAATACATATGCTGTTTGGCACGGTGCAAAGTACTCTGTCATTACGGTCTCATTTCACTGACAAGATGACTGGAGCATTTGCAATTTGTAATGCTGCACTGAGAAAAAGTGAGAAAGTATAAGGTTGTAAATGCATTAGTCAAGACGTCACTTTTTTACCCCCATTATTTTCCCACACCTGAGTGTGAGAATGACGCCGAAACATCTCTATACTAAAGTATTTCCCAACAGAAATACATCTTGGGAAAAAAAAATGTTGTCAACAATGTGGTAATGTGGGTGACGTGTCTTGCCTAGGGACACAACAACAGTTTGGCATTTTACTGCCCCTGCTGCTCCCATCACAGTAACCAGGCCCTGCCCTGCTTAGCCTCAGATCTGACAGAATCATATGCAACTAAAGTCTCAAATTCACAAAGGCTATATTTCACATTAAAATATCAACATTAACTGTATTTCTCATCCATTGGCTAAATATTTGAAAATGAATAATTGATTGGTATAGATAGTGATAATAATACAAATAATAATAATATAATCATGTTTTAATTATAATACATTTCCCAGGCAAAAATCAAAGTGACTGATAACAAAGATTTAAATCATTCAAATAAATATAACAATTATTATGAAATAATTCTTAAAGAAATCCACAAAAACATGCAACACACATGGTTCCACTATAATCCCAGTTGTTTAAAAGGATTTATTTAAAACCTTACATAAAAGTGAAAAGCAAGATGTGATTTTATTGGCCAGTTGCAATGAACAATCATGAACAATCTTTTGTTGTGGGTGGATTAACGACAAATTAAGGATTTATTTTTTTACCACAATAAGCAATCCTTTACACCTCACAAAACTGCACTGATTGACTTTCACAAAGGATGTTCTTCACTAGTGCCTCCTTATCCCTGGAAGCTGGTATCGTTCTGTTCTGGCTCCATCAATAGCTCATTGTCAGTACCATGTGCTTCCGCAGGTCTGGAAGTGTCGTGTGAGCTTTTCATAATGCCATAATTGCCTGATAATCCATCAATGTTTATCCTTCTTTTCTCCTCTCCCAGTGTTGTGTTTCTGTGTTTTAGGCACAGGCTGTAATGGTTTCTATAGTGACTGTTTGAACTTTTGACAAAGAGGGAGTGCTAAGGGACTGAGGCATGTGGTATGTTGTGTTGTATCATGAGATCCTCTTACAGAGACTGGAGGACTGGCTGGGTGTTGCTGGCACCACCCTTAGTTGGTTTAGGTCTTATTTGGAAGACGGGAAGTACTTTGTGGAGACTATAAACTGTGTCTCAGATCATATGGCCCTAACCTGCGGTGTTCCACAGGGGTCGATCCTGGCACCTCTTCTGTTCGATGTCTACATGCTGCCGTTTCGTCAGTTAATACTCAGAAACAAAGTGTCCTATCACAATTATGCAGATGACACTCAAATCTATGTCTCACTTACTGCCGGAGAACATGGACCAGTGGACTCACTCCATTACTGCATCCGGCAGATGACAGTGAGTGGATGCAAAGAAAAGTCCTTCAGCTAAACACAGACAAAACTGAAATTATTGTCTTTGACCACCGAAAACCACCGAGTTTCTTCCGTCACCTACAGTCTGTCTCCCTAAGGCCTTTGGATTGGGATAATGGATTCCCCCTATATTTCTGACCATAGGTGGAGTCCATTATGTGGCTATTAAAAAAAATTAATAGCCACATCAAATCAGTAACATCAGCAGCTTCTTAAACAAATATAGTGTCTGAATTTAAGCAGACTTGGAGATTCTTATCCACGTATTTGCCTCTAGTAGGTTAGACTATGGTAATGGCCTACTCACAGGTCTCACTGGCAGTACATTTATAATGCTGTTGCTGCAGTCCTGACTAGAACCAGGAAGTACGATCACAATAGTCCAGTCCTCAGGTGTCTGCACTGGCTTCCTGAGGCTCAGTGAATGGACTTTAAAGCAGCTCTGCTTGTGTACAAGTCTCTCCATGTCTGACCTCGCACCAAAGTACATCTGTGATATGTTGGTGCCATATGGACCGGCTTGGACGGAGGGACTCTGGTGCCCAGAGTCCAGACTAAACATGGGGAGGCAGCGTTTCAGATGAATGCAGTCTTCCTGAAAAAGTGAGACAGGCTACTCTGACAGTCTTCAAATCCATTTTAAAGACAATCCTGTTTGCCTCTGCATGAAACTGAAGGATTTTATCTCATCTCTTTTAAATGCACTGTGGTAATTTTTTATTTTAATCCCTTGTGTGATTTTGATGTTTTAATGTGTTTAATTACTTGATTTCAAGGTTTTTAATTACCTGTGTTGATGATTTGTGCCTTGTGTGCTGTGGATTGTGAAGCACTTTGTGTTACCCTGTGTAGGAAAAGCACTCTACAAATGAAGATTGATTGATTGATTATATGTGAAATGTGCCTGGCCAATTCTACAGTGCGCCACAAGAGGGTGATAACTGAAAGCAAGGACATTTGACACTTTTTGAGATTAAATCTAAGATTTTTACTCTGAATGTTTGTGCAGTAAAACAAATCAAAGTGATGGAGCTATCAAGAAACTGCAACTGGAGTGAGGAGGTCTCAATTATTATGCAAACTATGGCAAAACTCGACAGGTCACATATGAGGTCAACCTGTCCAAAACTACAATTCAGGGTTTTACCAATAAATTACTGTGCTGAAATAATTTGCTTAAAGTTGCCTTTTTGATCCCATGGAGATAAACATTTTTTCGCTTGGAATGTATCTAAGTTTGATATACAATTTGTAAATATTAGATGTTTTTACCACTCAAAACCTCATTTTTTAAACATTAGCTCTCAGCAGATATGAGTTAAAGCTGGGGTCCTAATTTTCTTTGATAAAAATCCATTTAGTTTGTGAAAGAGCCTTGTGTGGATTCTTTTTGATGGACTCACCTGTCATCGACGCAGAGGCGAGTGTTGCCCACCTGCACAACCACCAGCCCACTGCCCTCCACAAAACGACAGGTGAAGCTGTAGTGTCCGCCCGGCTCCCGGCTCTCCTGCATCACCAGCAACATGGCCGGACTCTGAGGGGACACCAGCTGACTCAAGCAGCGGATCGGCTTCTTCGGCTTCTTCTCCTGAAACAGACAGTCCCGGTTACATCTGTGTCTTTAATCCTAGCAGCCCATATTGGGGCACACTGGGGCACTTTCACAGTCCGGGTTCAGTTGGGACTAAAAGTGAAGTCAGCCTCCAGTACAATACAGTCAGCTTACTTTTGCGTTTTCTATTCTATGCTGACGTTCAAATGAGGTTCTGAATCTAATTTTGTTGTTTCTTGTGACAATGACAATGTATTATTTAATCTTGAATCAGTTTACCAAGGTGTCCATCACTAGATCAAATTCTGAAGAGACTTTAGAATGATCCCCGAATCTGGATTCACTGAACCAGATTTAACCAGGATTTGGTTCCATATTTTAATCAATAGGAACCAAATCCTATTAATTAAAATATAACAAATAATGGGATGTTCTGGGGATAGTCTCTAAAGTGGCTGTTGCCAGAGATATTTGTTCTGCCTTTTTATGGTTCAGCTTCATACCGGCATCTTACTCTTACTTGTTTAGTTATTTAATTTAAAGAAATATTGTAATGCAATCAAACAGCAATCAGTGTGATGCACATAGAAATATCAACTTTTATTTATATTTATATATTTATAAAGCACAGTGCTTCACATTAGCTACATTTAAAACCAATTTTAAAAACACACTGTAAAAACACACATAAAAGACAATTTAAAGAGAAATAAATATGTATACAGTATATCAATAATCACAGTCACCATGGGACAGTGCTTGGGACTACATAAAGACTATAATTCAACACGTTTATTTTAGAAAGCGTGTAGAATACACTACTACAGCTACTTAGGCAACAACATCATCTGTAGCAATACCATGTTCCCTTTTTGGGTTGAAGCAGCTTTAAATAATCAAAGAAATTAACATGCTTGCTGTAAATACATATATTTTAGAATAAAATGTTGTGGTATAAACATTTTAGCATCTGAAACGTCGATATCGTCTTCATTTGAATATAGGCATTCATCAGTACAAAGGGGTTTTATGTACAACTGGGTGGAAGTGCTAACAACATTAGATGCCAAAGGACAACATGTAACGATTAGCTTGCGTAGAGAGATCACACCACAAGTAGCTTGCGGGGATAAGAAATAACTTGTGAGTCTAACCACTGAATTCCTCTGCTCCTTATCCTGGCTCTTGGCACCCTCGCCCCTCCCTCCTGTCCCAGAATGCCGTGTGAATGCCTCGCGGCGATAGATGCCGCCTTGTCGGGTTCAAAAGTCACAGCTAAGACTTCTCTTTCCCCTCAGACAAGTGGTCCAGACAGGATGCAACCACGGAAACACAGCCCAAACCCTTCGAGACACACTCACGAAAGAACATCGTTTTAATGTTGGCTTCATATCGGACACACGCCAGGAGCCTGGGGAGTTTACTCTTAGTACTGGTTTTGTCTACTCACGCAATTGTGGAACATGGAGTCAAACAGGGAATTCTTAAAACAAATATCTAATGTGTTTTTCACAGGACATTCAAGAACACATTTTCAACTTCATTTTTACAACTTGCATCTTTATTATGCCAGCTGGGAAATGATAACTAGATTAGAACCAACCAGATTTAAACAACCATCATTGATTTGGTGTCCTAAATTGAATATGTCTGAAGAAAATCTGAAATCTGAAGAGAATCGGAAGACAATCCCAGGACAGTTAAGAAACATAATGGCTCATAGTGGCTCCACCTCAACTGACTCCTCTTGACATTGAAAAGCAGTGTCTCTACTCCGAGCTCCTCCTGTGTGACTGAGCTCATACTTTCGGTCATTACCCAAAACTCAAGACCATAGGTGAGGGTGGGAACGTAGAGCGGTAAATTGATAGCGTTGCCTTTTGCTCCTTCTTCACCACAACAGTCTGATACAGCGACCGCATCAGTGCACACGATCTGTCTGTGAACAAGACCTCATGATACTTGAACTCTTCCACTTGAGGAAGGACCTCCCATTCTTTTAAATTGAGAACTATTAGGGAAACGTCTTGCCAGTAAAATAGGACATAAAGTGGCCTGACTTGTGTCATACATTTTGATCTACATTTTGTGAAGGTCAGAAAAGTGCACTTTGGTCTAGAACAAAAGAAGTACCTATTCCTGTTGGTAAATGACGGCTAATCCTATCTCTTGATACAATTAAGACAAAAAAATGTTAATAATTCCATTGAGCTTCATTACGCATTCTTTCTAAATGTTCATGTGCACCAATAAGCCAACAACACATTTTTGTTCTGGGTGCTTGAAAACAATATTTGCTCAATGCCCAATGCAAACTAATAGCCCTGTAATGAATGATAATAGTAGCACTCCTGATAACTCCTGAAATAAGGTCAGCGCTATCACAATTACAGCACTTGAGGCTTTACCTTAAATGCAGACCGTGCGTCTCTAATGGCAAAACCAACTTCAACCGTCCAACTTTCCTCTCTTAAGTGTGTGTGAAGCTTTCAGGTTGTCCAGTCTAAACCGCTTATTTAAAACCACTTCCTCCATTTGTCCTTCACCCCGCCCCAGACTCCCTGTTTTTGTTTCCTTTCTCCTTCCCCTGTCCTCTGCTTTATTGATGCTCCCCAGTCGCTATAGATCGTGGAGATTAGGTTGACCTGATGATGAAATATTTCCTTATTGTCTGCAACGCCAAGACCAAACGCGCTGCGGTCTGCTCCTTATTAGAGATCCATCAGTTCCCAGGCCGCTCTGACCCGTGTGTTAACTCTTGATTAGGTCATATGATAAACATTAAGGCTGCTGTTTTTCCCACAAACTCGGCACCTCAAAAAAAAAAGGTTTGTGCCCGGGGCGACTGCAACACGACACGGGGCACCATTCAAAGCACAAGCCGCGTGTGTCCTTTTAATGCCACCTCGTTAGTTTCTCCAAACGGGATTAAAGGCCTGCGCTAAAAACGTAGGGATGTCCTTCGGGGATAGGGGCAGATAGCCTTACAACCGTCGGGCCATTTCTCTATATTGGCTTTTGTGGCACACATTCCTGCCGCCGTATGGTCACAGCCTCTCAGATGACACGGCAAACTTCATTATTCACACTAGAGGATGAATTGAGGTTCACTTGATGCAAATACAGTATACTGGCAGTATAAACGCTCTGCACAAAAGGGTATGGTGTTGTCAGTCAAACAATGGAAAGAAGATAACGTTTATGCAGTAATGGTTTCATGTAATGAAACTGTGTCGACAGGTTTTTTTTTTCAAGTGTATACAGAGGTATAATACAGTGTCTATTTTGATGATGGATATCACTTATCAGCCAAAACATTATGACCACCTGTTTTGCATGTAACCATAAAAGTTTGTAACTATAAAGATATAGCTTCAGGTTTGGTTTAAATGTAGCTTGATGTGTGAAGTTTTTGTTTGCTTTTCTCATAAGTTCACATTTTTTACTCCCTTGAAAACATTTGATCTTGTCAATTGCAAATGAGGGACTCATTACACTGGGGTTGTATAATGGAGATGATTTGATCCATTCAGGTAATCATCATACATTCATATTTATGTCTTATTTGAGAACAAGTGAAGTGTACCTTAATTAGAGTCTCCTGCAGCGCTGCCTGGAGATGAGCCAGCTGTCTGTTCAGATGCACAATGGAAATCTCCTCCTTGAACACTTCACAGTTGAGCTTAATCTTTTCCAAAAGGCGGACCTCCAGCTGTCTGAACGTAAAGACAATGTTGTTTCAGCGTAATAGCTCTCAGACCATATGCATTACATCTGATGTTTTTATTGGAGCTAATGAGGCACAGAAGAGCAATCACTTTTATGATTCATTATGGTACTAAATCACTCAATTCTTAACCACAAAATCTTCTGTGAAGTACACATTACTCTATATTACATATTTTGGGCTGGGCAACACATGTACATACATGTAAAGTATTCAATAATGAGTGCATTACATAGAACTATAGTACTCTAGTACTATAAACTATATAGTACTATATACTATAGTATAAAACAAATCAAGGATGTTCTTCCTCATACTTAATGTACATCTGAATGTAGTATCTAATATGCAGAGTCTAATCATTCTAATGAAGTGTTATTCTTTTCTTTGTTATTATTTGTTTATGTCAAAGTAAAGTGTCTGCAAAGGTTTCCGGGGGCCCCAGTTTCCCATACCTCAAAAAACATGTAAGACGCTGCTGTTTGTATTGTCCCAAACAATTAAACACATTTTAAGAAGAAACATAATACAGCGTTTTAGATTAGGATGGGGAAGGGGCGTTGGGTCGGAGAACGTTTGTGTGTGTGTGTGTGTGTGTGTGTGTGTGGGTGTGTGTGTGTGTGTGTGTGTGTGTGTGTGTTTGTATTTTGTGTTGAATGAGTGAAAGAGGTTTGAACCAAATAGGGTCTGCTACATTCAACCCCTTTTCAAACAGTGTATTTCTGTTTCTTTTGTGTATTTTGTATCCTTTTTATTTTGTTGTATTACATGTATCCACACATTTGCCATTTTACATGAACGATGCCCCTGTATTCCCCATTATACATAAACCTAAACCTTGTGCAAAGCCTACTTCTTCTTGAAGCCGTTGGTGCTCATATTGTCCCGAAGCGTCTGCAGAGCCAGACGTTTGTCGTGCAGTCGTCCTTGGATCAGCTCCAGCTGCTGTTTGAGCTCTGCAGACCCCAGCCTCTCCACATCCACCGGCCTCTCCATCCTCTTTAGCTCCGAGCAGAACGCCACAAGACCCTGGTGCAGCTCCTGGACCTGACAACAGTGTTTCAGCACTCATGGCAGGTATCCATCAATAGTCACATAGTAGCAATGCAGTGTTATGCTGAGATTCTAATATGAGTGACTTTCTACAGTCTACAGGGAAGTGTTTTAATGTTTTAAGTCATCAATGGCCAGTCCCCAATACCTGCAGAATGATATTTTGTAGTGAGTCCACTTGTTGATTTAGCTCCTTGATTCTTGGGTCTTTCTCTGGTGGGACTGGTAGTGGTTTGGTGACTTGTTGGTGGCCGTTCATGCTGCTTGGTTCAGGTGGATGTCTGGGAGGGACTCTGGGTTTGTCCTGAACAATCACAAACATAATGTAAAGTTAATTTTAGGCCACAAAAGAGCATTTCCCACTGCAAGAGCAAAGTATAAGCCCTCCACAGTCTGACACCTTCAAATATTTCTGATTTGATTGTGCCTAATGCGCAGTATCAGATTCTCAGACCTCAACCTTCTTGCTGTTACTCGTGTGAGGTTGGAGGTGGAAGAGGCGGATTTCTCCCATTATGCTTTTTGTAAATAGAATGCTCTGCCTCATTTTATTTATTTATTTAACCTTTATTTAACCAGGAAGTCCTTTGTGATAAAATCTCTTCGGGGGAGACCTGGCCAAGAACACCTTGGTAACAAATAACATACATATAAGCACAAACAACATTATAAAAATACATCAAATTGGTTAAAATATCCAGCTCAAAAGTAACATCTGCACATTTCAGTCAATCTCTCCTTCAATAGAAACTTAAATGAGACCAGGGGACAAAGTTCTCAAAATATTAGATGTACTCTGACCCTAAGCTTATTCAAGAGTAAATTTAGACTTTGTTATCCTTAGGTTTCATTCTGTCTTTGGAAAACTTCTTGAGTGCAAAAGGTAATAATAAATGAGTGATTTTCTGAAGTTCTCTGTAGTGACATTTTATTATAATGTTCAACTCACGAATAAAATGTCTTCTTCTTCTTCAAAAGGTAACATATTACGTCTTACCTTTCAATGAGGTACAGGATACAGTATATATCTTGTTATTTCAAGTAGGCCTGTGAGGTAAATGTACTATATGTACCAGTTTACACAAATGCAGCTCCAGTTGCTTGTTGTCTGCTCCCGGGAGACTTCCAACCTGACGATCTGGACACAGCTCTTCAGACGAACCTTTAAAACAAGCCACATGTTCCGTCAGTAACACATCTGTTTGTTTCTGGTCTAATAATGTAAATGCATTTTAAGCCGCACCTTCAGTTTGTTTGATGCTAAACAGGCTCCTATTCTCCTTCATTCCCACCATCTTGAGACACGAGTCCACAATTTTTCCCACAGTGGTTTCCTTTGGCGTTCTCAGGTGAACTATCTGCTGTGAAACTTTACCACAACGTGACACAACAAGCAGAAGAAATGGAATGAATGAGCCGGCGGCCTTCTGCTCACATGACTCCAACGCTTTAGGCCGGACTTTAATCACGCTGTATCGTTTGTCCTACATGCACACACTTCCTTCGCCACAGTATTCTGTTACTCACCATTTATGGCGATCTCTATGAACTGCGTGTTTCTTTGCACTGCTAAAGTTTGAGCGTTGTTTCTGTGGGGGAAAAGGTCAAGTATTGAATTGAGTTAGCAGTGAATGATTATTATGCAGAATAGAAGATTTTACTTTAGCTTCAGAGATCGGCGGTTCCTGGTCAGACAGCTCAGATGGGGTGACGAGGTTGATTTGCTCATTGAAGGAAAAGAAGCAGAGTGCAGAGGGCCATTGTTGGACCCTAAGGGCTCTGTGGGAATCAAAAAAAAAAAGATAATAATCCAGTAAATATACTTGATTGCAAACCAATCCAAAACCAATGACAGGGTGATCCAGTGGCATTCAAATATTTGTCAAATGTAGATGACAGATTGTCCACTCAAGTGCTGTATGGGAGTACATTCAGTCACGAACAGGCAGAATCCTTTCACAAAGAGTTAGGTGTATGTATTTCTTTCATCACATACATATGAATTACGTATATTTTTATAGTATGTCGTTAAAGCAGGGGTGTCTAACTTCTAAACCACAAACATGTACTTGCTCTTAAACAGTTTGGTTATATCAGTAGTTTTCTCATGCATGCACATCTTTAGTTCAGCTTGTGGAAAAAAAGAAATCCTCCCTCACTCAGCCAATCCAGTCTCAGGACAAAATGTCAAATATGAACCCACAGGGCAAGGAAAAAAATGATGACGAAGACAGTTTATTCATTCACTCCACACAAGCAACCACAGCAATATGGGTGAAGTGTCTTGCCTATAAGGACACAACAACAGTGTGTCTCTTTACAGCCGCAGACGCCTGCTTAACCTCATCTCCTCACGATCTGACACTGAGGGGCTTTCACATGCAGGGAGCACCAGAAACATAAAAATTAAGTTATACGTAATGTTCCCCGTAGGACTCTTTTTGTCGGACCATCTATAAGTATTATTTATGAAAGATTAAAACAGTATTGTGGAGGTTTGAAATGGATCAATTCAATAGAAAAGTTAGGTATCGCAGCTTTAAACAGAAGAGTCCAATATTTCAGTTGTTGTAACTCCCAAACTGCTGATCTACCACTCGCTGCGATGCTCATTACGCGGCCGGCTGTGTGCCATCGTCATGGAAACGTACCAAACGCGCTGTTGATCTTTTGGCTGATGTCGCTGGGATTGTCGAGCTCGTTGAAGATGGCCGACAGTAGGTGCTCCCTGTCCTCCATCGTGGTGATCTGCAGTGACTCCAGAATGTTCATGCTGATTGAAGCCAGGTCCTCTCCACTCAGCTGAGCATCTGCAGCGAACACACAAAACACACACACACACACACACACACACACGCTCAATTACCACAACACAACAGCAAAGGTGTCAGCTCTAATTTACCAACAGTGTTATCTCCTGCTGCTAAGTTCATCTCCGATCCGCGGCGGGGGAAATGGGAACAGGCCGTGTGTTGCTTGTGTTATGAAGCCACAGGTTTACAAGAGCGGGATTTACCTCTGATTAAAGGGAGGCATTTCTGCAGTCCGATGCTGGTGAACCACTGGCAGACTTCCTCGGTGTTCATCTCCCGCAGAGTTTTGGCCACACTTATCTTCATGTTCTGAAAAAGAGGAGAAGAAAGGAGCAACAATAACAACCACTCCATTATAATCAAGTCACTTTTAAACAATGATAGTAGTACAGTGGAAATGGAGTCTTTACATACTGTATTTGGAGAGAAATTGACACTGCTGCTTGATTTAACACAATATAGTCAGTCAGGTATTAGCTAGCAAGATGTAAGATAATGAAAATGCATAAGGCGTATCTAAAAACATTCAACAACCAAGCTGTTATTAGAAGAACAATGTGCTATTATTAGAATGAAGTTGTAAGAATACTAAATATTTGTTTTCCCCCAGCCCTATCAAGGAGTGTTGTGAGTGAATGTGTGTGTGTCAGTTATCGGTTTGTCTTTAGGCAGGACTGCACACACAAAAAAACTGAGCTGGAATATGTGTAAATGGGTTACAAATATAGGGTGATACATGGCCTTGGCGGTGTATGTGGTCTCCGGGTGCATGTTCTAGTTATATAATAGTTTGGTTGGTATTTACAAGTTACATACAAGATCACAGAAGGTTATTTCAATGAGATACAAATACTTGGTACTTGATACAGATTAATATCAGATTTTTGGAAAACTATATTTCTATGGTGACTGTCTATCAAATTCCAACTCATGTCCATAAACAAAGCAATGAAGATATAGCTTAACACTGCAGAAATGATAAAATATGAGTAATAAATATGAGTAATAATTGATTGAATCAAGGGGTTTTTGTCTTTATTTGAGTCTATTCTAAAGAAAAAATAATAATAGTTAATGTCAATGGGACAAAGCCATTTAGTCTTCTTTCAAGAGCTGTTACAGGTTTTCATTCTGCTCGTCCCAATGGCAAATCTTGTTTTAAAGCAGTACAAATTGTGCTCAAATTAAGATATATTTTGCCAAGTTTGAGCAATTTTTGACTTATTTTTTTGTCGTTATACTTTGGGTTAGTAATTTTTCATGCATTCTTCTTTATTTTAATTGGGACTTTTGATGCTCAATGATTTTCTATTCCTACAGCTGGAGGTCTATGGGAAAGAATGGTTTCCACAATCAGCCCTGTCATCACAAAGTCACACATGGAAACTGATTCAGACTTTAATTAAAGAGAAGACAAAACATGGTCGAACACGGCCACTTTGTCATTGTCTGTGTGTCTGATTCATTTTGACACATACCATGTTACTACCAATGCCACACATAAACAGACACGCTGTATGTTTAGCCATAAATAATCTTTGGAAAGGACAATAAAATGTTTGCTTATCTGAAACCATAAACATCGATGTCACTGTAATTCATGCCTTAGTCAGAGTGACTAAGGCATGTCTGCTGTTTACTCTGTCCTTGGGAAGAAACATTTCCATCCAATATGCCCTTAAAAAAGACTGCACCCAGATTAGAAAACCTTGGCTATGATTTGGATTTTTCTCTTTGACTTTAAAACAACAAGAATGACCTGAATGATATCTCAATTGACCAGAACAGTCTAAATAATCGTTTTTGAATGGATTCCAACACAGAACAATGCATAAATGACTCCTTTGTAATAATAGGTTGCCAGATGAAAATGGTAAGCATGTAATTTATGCTGATATTAACTACAGACCATGAACAGTTTACTTTTAAGACACATTACGGTTTGTTGTTCAGCCAACACATGGATCACTAAGGATACGGGCAATCTAGCTTGGCAAATCCTGGACACAAAGACGCAAATCCTGCCACTATTTGCAGAGTCAACGCTTTGACAGATCAAGGGGAAGCTGGGAAATATAAACAGATTGTATTCTGTAATTGCCGCGGCTCAGGGCAGTGTGCTGATGCCACCCTGAAGGCAGCCTTTGATGGTTTCACTACTGTACCTTCTCGCTGTAGTTTCCATTCAGGGCGCTCAGGGGCAGATAGGACGCTGCAGGCACAAAGGAAACAGAGAAATGACATGTTGTACGACAGCAAAAAGGATTCCACCGCGTTGATCTCTTCATATGTTATGTGTTGCGTGCAGGAAAACATGACTTTGCAAGAATAACGCTTATTTTGTGACCAAGGCTCTTTTTGGTTTCAGAGCAGTAGGGATATAGGAAGTACTCAGAAACAAGGCTGTTGGAATATGTAGAAAATGAAAACCTGGATTATAATAGTTATAGAAGTTTATTTTTTGATCTATCCCCTGAACTGCGGATGCAAAATTTTTGGTGGTTTAGTTCGAGGTCAATGTTGAGCAATTGACAGCAATGCTTTTACATGAAACTATGTTCTTAAATATGCTACCTTAATTTGTGTTGTTCTATCCCTGCACTGTAGTTTAATATCTATATGACACTTTAAGGTGACCTTTAACCCATGTGTCCGGGGAAAGCGAATGAAAATCTGTTACATTTGGTACATTTTTCAGCAAAAACACTGTTAAATAAACTCTCACTTTAGCACACATGCGAACAACCCTTTGATAAATATACCTCAATCTATGTTGTGTAATGTGGCACTGAGACGCCTGGACTGGAGACCAAAGGAAATCCATAGTTTTCGCCTTAAAAAACAATCACATGTAAAAGTAGTGAAGTGGTTAGCGCTTGAGCTTCACAGCAAGAAGGTCCTGGGTTCGATTCTACCTCCAGGCCATGTCTGCTTACGTTTCCCCTACCACTAAAAACATGTAAAATAGGTCTGGCAAGGGAATGGCATTATATAAGTAAAGATAACTTACTTAGTTTGACAACCTAATGTTATTCATTTTGGCCGGCTGAGTATAATAGTTTAGACACCCCTCCACTACTGTAAATGTTGACATACAATATGATCCCACAAACGGTAAGAAAGGATGTTTCCCAAGCTCCCTTGCCTGCAATTGAATCAAAGATTAATATTTCATGCCACGCAGTAATTACTGCTGGATTATACCTGCTTCGCCCACAGTAACTCGGCGTTGGCGTGGCGACTTGAGCTCACGAGGTTTCTCTATGATCTGTGCAAACATTTGGAGACTGGGGCTCTTGCACAACATATCCCCAAAGCTGCGAGAGCGAGTGATCGGCCTCTGGTAGAAAAAAAGCAGAAACACAAATCCGATTATTGCCTCGATTGGACTGTAAATGTTTCCCCAAATCAATTTAGTCTCAGAAAGTACCTCTGCGCTCATGTGTCACAGTCTAAATCTGATAATGTCAGGAATGTGCAGTCCTGTGTCTGTGGTTTATGTTCAGTTGTATGGGTCATAGATGCTGCTATTCCAGTAACCGTATGTACTGTAACTGTAACTGTAATCATACCCGAGGTTGAGTGAATGCATCCATCTTGGAACTTTGAAGAACTTTGCTAAATTCAGACTTCAGCATTTCAGAACTTCCCAGATCAGTTTGTCTCAGGTCATCTGCACAGAGAGAAACAACAGTATGTAATTGTACAAGTATGACGTCACTTATTGATTGATAATATGGAAGTATGGAACGGCACAACATTGTAGGTCTATGTGTGTCTGTAAATACAACCGGAGTCCATTTAATGAGGCCATACAAACACATCTCCTCAAAAAAGGGTAAAACTGCTTGAATCTAAACCGTGAGATCCCAGTCCTTTTTTTACACAACTGCTTCTGATAAAAGCTGGATTTTGCTAATACAGAGGTCCAATGTCCAAAGGATAAGGAGGCTGAAAATTCTTACAATAAGAAAGTTCATGCATCAAATTATGTGTTTTGATCTAATTCTCTGAATTAGATTGAACACTGATACAGAGTAAAAAATAGTGTTAGTGCTGCAAAATGGCAGAGGTGGCACACGAACTAGACTTAAAGACAACTAACCCTAAAATTAAAGAAGAAAGTAAAAGTACTGAAATCATCTCCTTACTTAAGTAAAAGTATATGAGTACAAGCTTTGTTATGTGCAAAAGTAAAAAAGTAAAAAGTAAATTAAATTTTGAATAAATAATTGATGGATATATATTTATATATTTGAGACATTTTACGCATCGCTAAATGATACCTGATAGTACAGACAAAGAGTACAATAATAAATAAAACACTTAGAACTTAAGCCAAATGTCTGAGTTTAGAAGCTTGGCTAATCACTATTAATTCACTTAAGTTTGGCTAACTTGTCTTTGTGACATGCTGTCATGTGCAAAGAACCTTGTCCGTTTGAAATGTAAGGAGTAGAAAACTAGCATTTGGGAGGATTAAAAGTAAAAGTTAAATGAACAAATGACAACATACATTTACTTTCACTTTCATAATGATGTGAATTCATGACCATGGGACACTGCACTGTTATGAAAACTTAGAATAGTCCCTCTCCATGGCATAATGTCGACGAGAGAGATCTGTTGGAGGAGAATAGTCAAACCAATGACAAGAAGCCTTGAGGATATCGACCAATCAGGAAGTCCTCAAGGCTCCTGAACATGGGGGGTCAAAACCAGTTCTTGTCTTCAAAATGTTTCCCTCTCTCTTCACAATTTGAAGAGCTGCTGACATCTACTTTAAGTTGTCACCTCTGCAAAATGCCTTCAAATATTAGCCTGTCCCTTTAGACCAGACGAATACATAAATTACACTGTCTGTTGGAGGGGTGGGCTGAGAGGGTTGAAGTGTCAGTATTTCATCCTAAGACCTCATAAGGAGAGCAGTTCGTCTCCCTTTGCCCTGCCTGGAGTTCACTGAGTGTATTTGCGCTGCTGATACTGGACACACTGTGATGTTGCTTAGTAACCTGTCAGACACACAAACGTCCGGCTGATCTATGACATACTTTTCTAACAACTCAAGCACTTTCCCACAGAAATGACATTTTCCTCCACTTTCCCAATGTCACTCTTTTGGTCCACAGCTGATATCTGTATTACTGCTAGCTATCATAACAAGCATGACAAATGGGGCGATTTTAATAGAGGCTGGAATGTTTGTACTGCCAGCCCATAACGACATTAACTTTAATACGAGCAGTGATTGAAGGATCTACGAGTCTTCTTGCTGTCCGACAACAGTAGCGTTCTCAAAACAGTTTACCTAACAGAAATATTCAGCCTAATTTAAACACATGTTTTTCATTTGAGAGGCCTGACTTTATGAAAGGCGGGTTTGACATGGATGGGAGTTAGATGAAGTCCGAATCAGATAAGACAGTGTAATTGGTTTATGTGTGTCAGCAGAGGAATCTTGTCTGGGTCCCGGCACAGACAGTGAAGGGGAGAGGAGCAGGGGGGTAAGAGCAGCACCCTCTCCATCACCTGCCCCATGACGTACTCTGGACAGGATCAAGAATGTCCTGTCAAGAATATGCACATTCTATAGTAACATCATCATATCCATCCAATAGTTCCTCGCTCTCCAAACAGTTTGGTTGTATTACTACTTTTCACATTTATATATTGACTGTTTTGGCACAGCTTTAGATCAGCTTTTTCAGACAGAAAAGTCTAACTCAGCCAATCAACTCTCAGCCCAAAGTGCCAAATAGTGACTCAAAGGAAATGTTTGAGAAAAAGACATCACTTTATCTCTTTGTGGTCTTATTTGTTCATACAATTTTACTTTTATGAGGCTCTATCTGTTGGGACAACAACATGTAAAATGCAACAACAAAAAAAGTGTGGTATACCCTGCTTTAAGTCAAAAGAATAATAGCCTTGATACTTCTAACAATATGACAGTGTTGACTATTACTCAAGCACATGTGTGTGTAACAGTCTGATATAGTCATATAGCATATATTTGCAGAGACAAATGGGATTTAAACAATAATTTAAGTAATTTAATTATTATTGTTTTTAATTTTAGTACCATCTTTAAAAAAAAATTGTTAGAAAACCAAAAGTGCAGAGGCAGCAGTCGTGTCTCCTTCACCTGCCCTAAACAGTCTTTTATTGCGGGACACACAATGTTTGCCCTGGAGCCAAACAGCAGCGTCATTAGACATGTAGGAGGACGCTCTCTCTGACCTTAGACACAACACATTGTCTTTGAAATCCTGAGAAAATCCCTTCCAGTCCCTCACTGTGAGATCGTTTATGACACAGGGACAGAGTCTGAGAATGCAAATGGAGGGTGGCATTTCAGTCACCCCACCACAGACAAGGGTGACCTCACAGAGCCACTGTCTTCCAGGAAAAGTCCAGTCTCCACTTGCGCGTGTTTACAATACCGAAGCGTAAAAGCATGATACCGTTGCTCTTTTTGGATTTTTTCTTTTGGTCAAATAATGACCCAAAATAAACCATTCCAGTACAAATTAAAAATTAAAGAGGTAGGATGACTTTTTATGCACAAAAAGAAATTGCATTTATAATAATATTATAATATCAATATAATATCAATATTAATATTATTATTTGATATTATATTTAATCACCTTCATTGCCTTAGGGTGAAGTCCTTTGTTACGCACTAAAAGAATGTTGTATATCCACAGTCTAATCAGCTTAAACAGACGCAAAACCTAGACTATCATAAACTATCTAATACTCAATGGATTTGTTGAATTTAAGGTTAATTTAACTTGAACTCAGGGTTTATAAATTAATGTTTAAATTATGTGGCTGTGTCGGCTGTGGAAGCAAATACAAATCTAAATGTTCAGGCTCCCACTTAACACATTCTGTAGTGTGAATGTTGGTATGTTTACAAACTCAAAGTCTTTTGTGCACACATTCATAAATCTTGCTGTGACAGCTGTGACAAGTGCAAGTAAAATAAAGCCAAAAGACAAAGATTTCAGCACATTTATGTAACAGATAGGCAAAAGTGATGCTTATCGTTTGCACTATCATTGTCCTGCGGTCATCTGAAAGGAGAGTGAAGCTCTTTGAGAGATGCCCGAGGAGGGAGGAGAGCATGCTGACTCACAGGAACCCAAAACCTGGGAACCGCCTGCCCAGCCATGCTCTGGGAATACACTCACAAAGGCTAAAAAGGGCGCGCAACAAAAGGGGAACTTCTGAGAGTCCCAGCGGAGGCGTTCAAGTACTGTAGCCATGTCACATAATGACTGCAATTTCATCTGAATCGAGCACTGGGATCAAAACCAAAAAGGAACAGCTGGATCAGGAAACCACCATCAATCGCCTTAAACCTCCCACCTGGACCTGTCTTAAATCCACACGACAATGGCTCAGCAAAGAATGGACTCTGTTTGCACCCAGGAAATGGCACGTGATAAATACTGAAGTTAATGTGGCATGTAAGAAGTCAGGGGAGATATACTTTCACAGTCAGGATCTAATAGGAAGAACATGTTTGGGTTCTATTCTGAAATCAATGATACACATTTTTTTTTTCTCAGGAAAACAACATTTGAATTGGTTGGTCAGTTAAATTGATTGTTTTACTGAAATTATAAATTCAACTAGTAAAAATAACAAGTTTACCACAATATGAGGAACATTTAGCTGACAAACAAAGGATTTTGAAAGAACCTGTATATTTTAAGAGACCGCAGAACACACACAAGCACTTTTTGACTTAAGGCTGCCACGCTTTTCAGGAACTGTAAAGCCATGAAAGACATAAAGCCCAACTAAAATCAATACCAGAATTAAATTAACCAGACGTGAGGAAAATGATTGGGAAACCTTTATGGGAAGCCAAGTCGCTGTGTAGAAAGTTTGCTGCTCATAGTAATTCTGTTACTCAGGCGCCTAAAAGGTTAACCTCTTAAATGACATGATTTTAGAAAGAGAAGCTCAATATCTGCTGTATAAATAATTGTCATTGAACACTCACTGGTCTGTGTGAATATGGGGAGTTGAGTCACAAAATATCCACTCCGCAGAAACCTGGGTTTTGGCTTCTTGGCTTCCTCTTTGGCCTCAAGAACCTCCTCTTCTCCATTCTCCAACGGCTCCATCTCTTCAACCAACTTTTCCACTATAACCTCATCGTCCTCATTCTGTGTCACTATGCATCCTTCTTTCGATTCAACGACTTTCCCCTCTTCTTCGCGACAATCCTCTTGGTCAGAAATCTCAATGTCTTCCAATGATACATCAAAGAACTGGTCATCCTCCACCACATCGGATGGAGTCGCCGGGATCAAGTTTATCAAAGGGGCTTGATTATTATCATCAAACAACAACAACTCTTCTTCTGCGTCATCAGCGCTGATTACAGTTATTGGTAGTTCAGGCTGGAGCACAATTGGCAGCGAAGATAGAGCCTTGAGTTTGTATTTGTGCTGATATCGTAAGTATTGGGACACTGAGCTTGCAGACCGGGTCAAAGTTTCTGCTTCCAGCAAACTGAATCCACGGTTAACTATCCCCATATCTTCCGTCTGCGCAATCTCAGTTCCGGCAGGTCCTTCCAAGTTTTGCCTCTGGGATTCGCCGTTACCCGTCCCCTCCAAAAGACTTCTGTCATCTCTTCTATGCAAACAGCAACATATCCAACATTTCCACGTTCGTCTCAAGTGTCCAGGTGCTTCTTCATCCCCGCTCGCCATCGCACCCAAGCTAGTTTATACTGTCCATTCCTTACGTCCTGTGCAAAATGATCGACAACCATTCCGACTGAAAAACATGGGTTGCTTATTGCGTAGGAGAGCATCGCCAAAACAGTCTATTCAGCTCCATGCGTTGTGGGTCAACACTTGAAATTAAATGAAAGCTGGCTTGAATGAATGCTCTTTGATATGTTAAGCAGAGGCATTATGGGTACAGCTTCAGTTTCAAAGGGACTGTAATGCAACAACAGGACAATGCCATTTTAAATCTCAGAGATAATAACTGTGCCATGAACGTCTCGATGAAAATAGATAGTGGGAGTAGGGATCGGTGAGGTATATTACTTGGAAGACTAGGATTTGGACAATGACAATCTGTTTACTCTCTGCTTTTAAATTTGGGGTCACTACGCTTATTACCCATTATATGTTCATTATATGTTCTAAATACATGTACTATCCCCTGAGGTGTTCCCAGGCCAGCTGAGAGACATAGTCCCTCCAGCTGATCCTGGGTCTTCCCCAGGGTCTCCTCCCGATGGGACATGCCAAGAATACCTCCCTAGGGAGGAGTCCAAGAGGCATCCAGAACAGATGCCCGAGCCACCTCAACTGGTCCCTCTCAACGTGGAGAAGCAGCGGCTCTACTCCGAGCAGCGGCTCTACTCCTCTCATGTGTCCTCTACATCTGTGGCTGGGCGCTCCCTATCTCTAAGGAAGCGCCCAGCCACTCTGTGGAGGAAGCTCATTTCAACCGCTTGTATCCGCGATCTCGTTCTTTTAGTCATTACCCAACGCTCATGACCTGCTCCCTCTTCACCACAACGGTCCGATACAGTGACCGCATCACTGTGCATGCTGCATCTGTCAATCTCACGCACCATCAGCCAGATGCTGTGTGCACGGACCGGGTCATCTGGGTTTCCACCTTCGACTGCCTCCCAGTCCACTCTGCATCATCCCATGGATCCCTCTGCAGGTGGTGGGCCCACAAGAGGGCTGGCCCACCCACATCGTCCTTTCGGCTGAGCCCGGCCAAGACCCGTGGGCAAAGGCCCAGCAACCAGACTCTCACGTACGAGCCCCAATCCAAAGCCTGGCTCCAGATCGGGACTCCGGCTGCTATATATATCTACGGTATATATATTTGTCCCGAATCATTAGTGTCCTGAGACCCTCCTGTATGGGATATAAACAACTCACTCAAAAAAGTGGCATAGTCAATTGTTAGAAAGATGTTTACTTTGAATATGCTAAAAATCTTCACAACGTCCAATCAGGAAAGAGAAGGAACAGTTTCAAAACCATAGTATTTTTGTGTACAATTAGTCAGGTTTGTCTTTTGGTCGGATGCCAGTGGGTATGTGGGCAGACGGATGCGTGGCTTACACACAGCCCCTATGGCATCAGGTGACATTTCCTTTGGCTCCGCAGGCCCTGTCCTGTCCATGATAAGTCATCCAGCATCAGCTTAAAACTATTATTATGCCACACCACCCACACTGAGGATTGCAAGAAAAGATGATATCTACGTTCTCTTCTCACGCCCAGAAAGTGACAGTGAACAATTACGGTAATACCTCAGCGCTGGGAGTGAAAATAGCTTCCGAACAGTGCTTCTTGCATTTCAAACATTTTGCTTGGAAAACTTGACCGTACGATCCTAAGTAAGAAAGTATTCAATTTAGGAGAGGGTAGAAAGGGATGGTATTAGATTGTTTTAACTAAACTGTAAAACACTTCTGTTTCATTTTTTGTATGAAAAGCGCTTTATAAATAACGTTTGATTGATTGATTGATAAGAAATCACCTTTGTGTTAGTGGTCACATTTCTAAATTTCAACCCCAATTTTGATACTAGAAAAAAGACTAGTACATACAAATTTGGATACCACAGTACTATTGTACTATGTTTAAATGCAATAGTACAATAGACTAACAACCTCCAGTTGAACGAAAACATGTGAACTGGTCTACGACTTCAGTCGCAATAGTTCTCATTTGCCTGTTGTAATCGACAACTCCCAGGTGCAGATCGTAGAGGAGTGCAAGTTTCTGGGTTAAACTCTGTCTAACGACCTGAAATGGGTTAAAAACACTGACCGAGTCGTTAAGAAAGCTCGTCAGCGTCTCTACTTTCTGCGTAAACTTAGAGAATTTACCACTAACTCTAAGATTCTGCTTAACTTTTATCGCTGCACCATTGAGAGTTTACTTGTTGGTTCTGTGTCTGTGTGGTTTGGAAACATCACAGATAAAGAAAAGAGAGCTTTAAACAAGGTGCTCCGCTCTGCAAAGAGGACTGTGGGCTGTGAGTTTCCTGTTCTGGAGGTTCTTTATAAATCCAGACTTTTAAACAAAGCTCTTAGGATTGTTAATGACTCTTCTGGCCACCCTGGGAAAGCCATGTTCCAGCTTCTTCCCTCTGGCAGAAGATATCGCTCTCTGAGATGCAGGACATCTCGTTACGCTAACAGTTTTTATCCACAAGCTGTTATCAGTTTGAACAGAGCACTTTAATGATTTGCACTTGTTTTGAAACTGTTTTAGTCGATCGATTTTACAGTGACATTTGTTTACGGTTTTATCTGTTTTATTTCTGTCTTTTAATGTTGTTTTATGTCTGTATTTGTATGTGCACACTGGAGACTTTTTGCTAATGTATTCCAATGTGGGTTTTTTTTACTGCAAATGGCAAATATACTGAATCTGAATCTACAAAAATTATATACGTTTACATTTTTCCAGAAATGCACAAGAAATTTCACTTTGGTTTTTGTTTATTTCACTATTTTTTTAGTATTGATTCTTGCTCAATTTAGTTTCTAGCTCCGATACTAGCTTTAGTAATCAATACTCTATAATTTTGATAACCCTACATTGATTATTATGAAAGTTGGGCAATGATTTCTCTGTGGAGACAAACAGGTGATGGAGCTCCCAATCGAGCAGTTTCAATTCCACATGAAACAAAGCAATATAATTGCTTTCAGCTCCAAATTTATATTTTTACATTTTATATAGACATCTGTTATATATTCTCTTTTTAAATTACCTAAGTGAGTTGCACTACACATCAGTTTTTATCAGCTTGTCTCATTAACACATGGATTTACCATATTCCTTATGTGGAAAATTAATCCTGGTATACCACAAACGAAGCTCGTATTAAAGATTTTAACGGCACTGACCATATTCCCAAATAAAACGCAACCTCAGACGTTGTTAATATCCTCAAATGGGACACAAGTGTTGTTTAGGACACAGACCAGCACAACATATAAAGATGATCTAACATACGATTTCATTTTCAGTCAGGATCACTTTAACATACTGTTTATGAGGCTTTTTATTTGGCAAAAATGAAGACAGAATTGACTGGTCAGCTCAAGCATACTGTTTTCTCACATTCAAATTTGAAATGCTAGTGTTTTTGTTATAATGCAAACCTATCTTATAAAAGTGTCCACATGTAGTTTATTATTTGACAGATTTCATTTTCTATTGGATACTTACAGGATCCCACCTTAAATTCTTTCATAAAAAACTATCAAGTTACATAACCTTGAAACATCAGAAAATACATGGGACACAGGATACGGCAATTAATGTAGTAATTCAATCCTTATACTTTTGGCTATATAGCAGAAGTTATAAACAGTTTCCAAAGTGCAGCACATTTTGTATCAAGAGCAAAAGAGAAATGAAAACAAAACACCTTATTTTTGTATAATGCAAGAATGTAGAATGTATGGAGACAAGAACAAACCATCAGAAACATGATGTCGCTGCACCTTTGTCTCTCCTTCCATCTGCATTCGGTATCTTTTTGCCACTCACTAAATAAGTAACCTCTGTATGAGCTGCAGCTGTTAACCATTTACAAGACAAGATGTATGTAAATGTGAGGTGAGCGAATTATTTTATCACAGCCCCTCAAACATGTGCATGCAGTTACACATTGTCCAGTGTGTAGCGGGGGAGTCTCGTCATTCAAGCAGGGGTCTTAATGGGGGCTTTACCACATGTCTGCCAATAGAGGGCAGTACAGAGCAGACACACAGCACTGTCGTAAAGCAGAGCCCACCACCACTTGTTTTTGTCTGAAGAAAGTTACACCACACTCAATTTCATTTGAATTTTAGGCTATCTTATTCAGCTTTTTGCAATCAAGTTTTGCCCAAGAATTGTATTGTAAATGTAAAGCTAACTTTCAAAACAAGCTAAAACATCAAACTAGTTCCTTGCTCTGAAAACTCTTTTGTTCTATTTATAGCTTTCACACATGCATGTATTTTTGCCTCTGAAACGTATTTAGATCAGGTTTTTCAGACATAATAGAGAAAAAGAGAAGACCACCCTCATTCAGCCAATCACTCAGACTCACTGAGCACTTTATGACAAGTATCCAACAGGTAATGAAGACAGTGTATTGTGGCCTAATTTTATTACAACCTTTTATTTTTTGCTGTTTATGAACAAAAATAAGTTAGGTACCCCAGCTTTAATATCAGCACAAAGAAAAGTCTGTGATTATTTACAAGGAGTATGTTTGCAATAAGTTCAAAATGAATGACCCTAAGATCTAAGGAAACGTCTCTTGTTTTAGATAAATTTGGAAAGACAGTTGTAAGACACAGATGAATCCTTCACAGCTGCCATAGCCGAGGGCAGCCTTGGAGGGAAAATGACTTTGAAAGACACATTAGTGTACACTCCATGGCAGGATTTAAATTCTCACGGCTGTAATGGTTTCTGCACTTCTCTGCGGATTTTCTCTGCACCTTGTTGCGTCACTAGCAGGCTCTACATGTCCGGGCAAA